CTTGAAATACTTAAAAGGAGTTCAGCCCACAGTGATGCTCCATAAAGCACTGAACCTGTTACGTGTGTCCAGCTGTCCTGAGGACTGTCATTGGTCTGCTGGCCACATGAGTCTCCTAATCTGAAAGAGTTTCAACCTGAGCCCTGGAAGAAAGGCTGGACAATCCAGACAGGTAGGAAAGCTTAAAAGTGGGGAGCGACAGTGACTTTACTGGTCCTGTGGACTCTTGTGGTTGGCTCTGACCTCGCTCTCTTCGGGGCTGATTTTCTATCAAAGATTTAAGCTGGTGGTGAAAAAGAAAAGCCAGGCACCCTATTCTCCCTGGAGAGAAGCTGTGAGAAAAGTTTTGAGAACTCTGAGCAAAAGCAGCTGGCTCGTGCAGGAAAAGGAGGCAGATCTTCACTTTTACACTGCAGTCCAAAGGGCACAGACCATGTCCCTCAGAGGCAGTAATACCCAGTTTCCTGGATTCTGCAGTGGAGGAGAGACACTGGGGATCGGAGAGCTTTCTGAAGCACTGCAGAGTGCCTGGACGCTGATGTACGAATGGCCAGTGACAATGGGCAGTCAGATGGGCATTCCTGTTCTAGTTACTTGTAAATCCTAGGAGTGTATTTATTGTATTCTGGCCTTTTTTGAATCCAAGGGTTTTTCATTTGCAGGAAGACAGAGGACTTATTCAGAAACTAGCTAGTGAGAACATAAAAGCTGGCAGGCACTCCAGTGCCAAGTTTTGGGTCTTGCTGCCGCAGGTGGCACGTGATGAAGTCGGAGCTGGGATACTTCTTGGCTGCTGTTGCTTAGCATATAATAGCTCCATTCATGGGGCCTACGATGTGCCAGCAGCTTGCCACACATTAGCTCATTCCTTTCCTTTATGTGCCTTTCTGGTTGCAAAGGAGCTGGGGAGGGCTGCTTGAGCTGGGGGGGTTGGGGTGGGGATGGGGTCACTGCCCGGCCTTGTGAAGAAGAGGAAGGTATGGGCAGGAAACCACTCCTTCTTGTGAATACATATAAAGCCCAGGCCAACTATTTCACCCCCATTCCACCCCAGTGTTTTTAAGTAACCTGGTCCCCAGTCCCTCCTCTCCAGATGATACCACTGCTCAGAGATGGTGCTCTTGGAGAAGGTAGACATGGTATTAAGAGAAAAAGTAGGTGGCCCAGTTTTTTTTTTTCTACTCTGGCCGGGTCAGGCTGGTTTCTAGCATGTGCTTCATCCACTCTGTTTTCTCTCCTCATTCCTTACACTCCATAAGGGAGAATATTTTATCCCTGGGCTTCACAGACTAGGGAAATGAATTAGGAACAATTACCTTTCAGCTGATTCCAGGCATCCCACTTGGCCTTGCCTCTGAGATCCAACAGCCCAGGCCGTTCTGAAACAAGAGAAGGAAAAGACATTAGATCTGCTTCAAGGTCTAATGGAGAACATTATTGTTCCCTAGCTCTGTTAAGTGGGTCTAACATAGCGGGTTCTGCCTTCAGAAACCCAGATGTACAGAAATCCAAATTTAAGCTCTAGAGAAAACAGGGAGAAAACTGTTCTCATTACTAGGCAGTCTCTGTCTTAAAAGTTAAATAACTCCGGGGATCCCTGGGTGGCTCAGCGGTTTAGTGCCTGCCTTTGGCCCAGAGTGCGATCCTGGAGTCCCGGGATCGAGTCCCACATTGGGCTCCCAGCATGGAGCCTGCTTCTCCCTCTGCCTCTCTCTTTCTCTATGTCTACCATGAATAAATAAATAAAAATCTTAAAAAAAAAAAAGAAGTTAAATAACTCCAAAATTTCTCCTTTTAAACAAATACTACAACCTTCATAAGGCTTAAACTTCAAATGCTATAAAGGGAATACCATAAAGCTTCCCTCCCACCCATGCTCTCAGCCACCCAATTTCTCTCCTTCAGTTGCTACTGCTATCAGTTTTCTGGCGGCTCTTTCTGTGAACAGTTTGTTCATATCCTGGCCCCATTTTTCTACCAAATTGTTAGTCTAATTCTTGTTAATTTGTGGGCGTCCCCTCGCCCCGCCCCAAAGGCAAAGTATTCTTTAGGTTATATCATGATTTTATGCTTCAAGACCTGTCATCAGCGGCACCTGGGAACATACTCACTACTTCCCTGCTGACCTATTTTACTGCCATGCTGAGAAAAAAAGGCAAGAGGAGCAATCTCAGTGCCTGAGGCCTGGACCACGGTGTCTGAGAAACATCAAGACTCCCCAGGTGCTTTCAGAGAAGCATTCCCAGGGATGCTTGAAAAGGCACCTACAGAGTCATTATCTAGGAAGTGCGAGCACACTCCAACCACCCTTTCTGTGATGATGGAAATGCACATTTGCACTAATTCAGGGTCACTGGCCACTTGTGGCACTTGATATGTAGCTTGTAAAACTGAGGACTGAGCTCTGGATTTTACTTAACTATTTTCAATTTAAATTTAGATAGCCACATGTGGCTAGTATTGACTATATTGGACAGTGCAGCCCTAGAATGAGCTGATGCCTTCCCAGTCAGGAAGCGACAGATTTCCACAAGCCAGTCCACATACTCATCATGTAAAAGCAGGGCAGAGGCCAGTGTCTGGGAAAATCTTGTTTGGCAGAAAAGCATCTCAGCCCCTCTGGTCACCCTCACTTCACTTCATCTCTCCTCCTCCTTAGGAGAATATAGAGTTTATAAACCCAACATAGTACTCACCTTTGCCCCAAAGCCTCTCTCAGCTAAGCCCTTCCTGGTAACTTTGATTTGGCACTGCTCATAATCCTTAGCTCTGGGCACCATTTCCTGCTTCCAGATGGCTGGCAGGCACCCACTTGCTCCACTGCCCACCCCAAGTATAGTGGAGCTGGCCATACTCACCCTCCTCCTGAACAGAGCAGTGGAGTGACCTCCTTCTAGGCTGCCACGGCCACTGCCTCTGAGTCCCTGCATAGATTGCATCATGCTGTTGTCTCAGCACACCCCTGAGTTTCAAGCATTTAGGACGCAGAATAAAAACTGTCCAAAGCAGGAAAGACTATATTCAGAATACTGTAGTCTAAACTATGCATCAAAATCTGTACCAAGAGTTTTCAATATGGAAGAAACAGTCAGGAGGAACCATGGTCAGCAAACACGCTTCTGATCTGCCACAGGAAGCCAGCTGCTTCTCTGCTCTTGATATCTGAACTTGGCCCAGCTGCCAAGTGGTCTGACTTTGATCCTGCCTATCTGGGGTGGAAGTAGTATGGTTCAACAGAGCTGCTACTTGCTGCTACAACAGAGCTGCTACAAAGCTCTGTCTAGTAACAGAGCTGCTACAGAGTTGACAGCTTGGACCACATCTCTTCCAGGATGGGGTCTCTCCTTCCTCCCAAGCTGACAGAAAATGCTGGTGATAACTGGTAAAGCCCTTCCAAAACTAGGATTTGAATTCTGGTACCTGAGCCACCAAGAACAGTGCAGGGTCTATGAGCCCCATTCAGGAACATGATCTTTGGGGGAGGACCCCATGGGCCATTACCATGTCCCACCTGAAGAGTTGGACTCTGGGTGGTTTTGAGTGTGCAGTTCCCACAGATGAAGAGTACTAGCACTCATCAAGGCTGCTGGGCCTGCTTTGATGAGTAGGGGCCTTCCCAAGCTCATCTCAGCATACCTGTGTTTATGTCACCTACAGTTGCTTGTTTGTAGTGGCTGTAGATGAACAACATCTCATCATCTGCTGGCTTGGTCTTGAGGTGCTTAACATCCTCGGCAGCTTTGTCAAACTCAGCCTAAACATGAGGGAGAGGAGAGGGCTAAATAGAGCTCAGTAATGGGGAGAGACGCGCAGGAAAGGCAGCACTCCTGCCATGCCTGTGAGGAAAAGCAGTGTCTTATCTTCCCAACAGGGCAGGCAGAAAGATCCAGCAAAACAAGGATGGGAAGCACATCGGTTCACTCATTTGATGGACGACTAGGTACTGGACCCTCTCACCGCACCATGTGCCAGGTGCTAGGAACACAGTGGTGAAGGAAGCAGGCCAGGAGAGCCTGCAGTAAGCATGTACTTCCCTGAAAAAAACCAACGTGGTCACTGCCTGACCACTCCTGGGTCAGGCCGGGGTCCCTAGAAAGCCCTGCTTTGTGGATAGGGCTAGCACGGCGGGTTCGAATCAGGTGAGAAGGGCACGGGGTCTGAGGGCGGCGGGGTCAGCAGCCCCCGGGACTGCGCGTTCAGCGCTGACCTCTATCCCCACTGTTGGGACTGGAGACGAATCAGAGGTCACGCCTCACAACTCCATCTCCGAAAAGCGGCTGTGCTGGAAGAAGGGAAAAGGCCTCTGGGTTATCTGTCCCCAAGCCCTCCCCTTCCTGCCCGCTGGACGCTCAGCCCCTACGTGCCCTGACCTCCAAGCGGTCAGCCAGGACTTCCTTACTTCTCCGCTCCGCAGGGCGTCCCTACTGCTGCCCGGACCTCCCGGATGGAGAACTTCGTCCCCTCGCTCCTTCAGTCCACGGAGCCCTCCTACCTATCGTCTTTCCACCTAGGACCCTCCCCTCCGACCCCTGATCCCGCTTCCCCGCCGAGTCCGCCCCACCGGCAACTCTGCAGCAGCTGCGGGCGCGCAGCGGCGTCCCCGTCCCTAAGTTCCGCTCCCCGGGCTCCGCGCAGGGAGTCGGAGCTGGGCGCGGGGCCAGCAGAGGGCGGAGAGCCCGCGGAGCCGTGCCTGGGGGTGCCTCGTCCCCCGCGGCCCCCGGGCGAGGCAGGCCTTCTACCTGAGACATGCTGGCGGGGTCGCGAGCCTTCGGGACGGCCGGCGCGGGCGGCGAAGGGCAGGAAGCGGCAGCGCAGGGCTCGACCGGCAGCGCCTTTAGACGCGCAGCCGCAGGCGGCTCCCGGGCGGCTCCCGGGCCAGCGCCGGGCAGCCAATCAGCAGCCAGCTCCAGCCGGGGGGCGTGCCCAGCGCCGCCGCGCAGCCCGACTCGCCCGAACCCACGTGGGTCCGCTCGCTCGCGCGCTCGCAGTGCGGAGCCGAACGGGACGCCGGGAGCAGGTGGGGGGGGGGGGGCGGGAGGCCGGGCGCCAGGTGGGAGGGGGCCGGAGGGGGCCGGCGGGGGCCGGCGGGCCGAGCCGGGTCGGGGTCCGGGGTCCGGGGGGGTGGAGCGGGCGGCGGCCGAAGTGCAGAGACTTCTACGTGTCTCGTGTCTCCCGGAAGTCGCGCCTCCGGACGGGTCGCCCCGCAGGCCCGGGGAGGGTCCGGAGATGCCCCGGGGCCGCGCCTGCGGGCCTGCGCGGTCGGGGGAAGCGGGAGCCGAGGCCTCCTGCTCCGCCCGAGCTTGGGGCGCGCTCCGACCTGCCCGCGGCAGCCCAGCTGCAGCCCTGCGCCGCGCGTCCCGGGGGCCGTAGAGCCCGTGCCCCTGTCTTACTTGTCTTAACAAAGTTGACCTGGAGCCGGTTCCCAGCAAGTATCTGCTAAGTGAACGGCTCTTCTTCGTTCGTAAATGTTTTCTGAGCTCTTTGCTGCCGGACTTGCCCCCGTTTAGACCGTGAGGTCACAGCAGTTAAGGGAACCTACATTCCTGCCACTTATGTTGGGGACGAGAGTGAAATAAGTAGAAAGATTGTTAGGGGGTCAGGGAGTTGGAAGTTTACAGTTTTCCACGGGAGGTGGAGGGTTAAGGGAAGACAACACTTGGAAGAAAAAAAAAACACAAAAAACCCTCGAGGAGGGGAAGGAGGGTTCCAGGCAGAAAATAAGGGTAGAAGTGTGAGCGAGGAGTGGAGTCAAAGGGTAAAAGAGCTGAGACCGCAGAGTTAAAGGGGCGCAGGCCGGCTAGATGATGCAGAGCTTGCGCTTTATAGGAACTTTGGGGATTTTGACTTTTATTTTGAGATGGGAAGCCAGAGGCTGTTAGGCACTGAATGATGAGACTGAGGGGAGGCTCATCTTTGCAAAGCTGTCACGGAGGCTGATGTTCTCTATGGGGACAGAAAGAGCAGCACAGGTGGATGCCAGAATTTGAGGTTGATGAGAATTTTCTGGTGGTTCCAAAGCTGGGTGAAGGGAGGAAATGGATGGAAAATTCTCTGGAGGTCATTCCTCCAGTTTGCATCAAGAGGACTACACTATAAATCCTCTTCCCCTCCCCTCATTTACAGTGACAGGTGTTAAGAAAGAAAGGCCAGGCGGAAGCTTTCAGATACAACTTCCTAACTAGTGGTAGTCCAGCCTTTATAAAATGTTTGGGAAGAAGTGGAGATGTGGTAGCAGACAGCAGATCTGGAGGCTTTCAGTCTGTGAATAATTTTGGTAGAGAAAACAAAGCCAAACAAGTATCAACAAAAAGTTTGGAGTTAAATTTGGGGAGATTACATTTGAATCTTAAGGAATGTAGTCCCCCCCCCCCAAAGTGACAATTCGAAGCTGTTCTTTTCCCCCTCTGGGGTACAGATGAAGCCTGGATTCTTTTTTTGTTCCATCATTTAGTGCTTACAGATTTCTTGATGGAAATTTCAGATTATTGTCTGTGTGGGTCAGATTTATAGTCAAATGTACCTTAAAGTCCATAGGTTTTAACATTAGGTTATTGTGTTTAGCACACTTGAGAAGATTAGGTAACTCCGACAATGTACTTTATATTCCTCAAAGATTGGTTGATGTGATGTAGTTTTGTCTGGACACCGCAGAAAGCAAGGCTAGTGTTTTAACTTGGCAATCGCCGGTTTAAGTGGAGTTGATTTGTTGCTTACTTGTTTGGAATATACTCCACTTTCCTAAAAACAACACCACCAACAACAAACCCATAACCAATTTTCCACATGGTGTTTCTGTGCTGGGGTGAGTCCACAAAAGTTCCTTAATGCAACTTAAGTATGTAACTAGTAAGGATTGTGGGTCCCAGGGAGCAGGGTGCTAAGTGCTTTTCCTTGCTTGCATGGGGCTCATCTTAGGCCAGGTTTTTAAATTTTTTTTTATTTTTTAATTTTATTTTATTATTATTATTTTTTAGGCCAGGTTTTGAAATAGCTGGGCATATTCTTCAGCCCGAGTCCTGCTTCCTTCTCTCATTCCTCAGGGACTCATTTTGGGTAATTTCCACTTACAGAAATGCTCCCTTAAGGCCTCCATTTACTGTTTCTATTGTAGGCAATTGGAATGACATTTGGCTTTTAAAATAAAGAGATGATAATAAGCCAGCGTCTTGAGATTTATTTTCTAAGGTAAATTTTAGAGCATATTGAGGGGTCAATAAATTATGAATTAATTAATTAATTTATTTATTTATTTATTCATGATAGAGAGAGAGAGAGAGAGAGGCAGAGACACAGGAGGAGGGAGAAGCAGGCTCCATGCCAGTAGCCCGACGTGGGATTTGATCCCGGGACTCCAGGATTGCACCCTGGGCCAAAGGCAGGCGCTAAACTGCTGAGCCACCCAGGGATCCCCTAAATTATGAATTTTTATTCCTACATTTCCATAGCATTGGAAAGGAAATTGCTCTTCACATCCCCAGAAAATGCAGGTTCCTCAGCTATGTTTACATCCTTGCTAGCAATTAGCACACTTTGCAATAATTTTATTTGTAATCATTTTTATTCATTTATTCTTCTGTCTGATCTTTCTCCCCTATATGAGCAGGGAAGATAGGGATCACCTTGTATTTATTGGTCAGTACTCTGTCTCAAAGTCCCTGGAATTCCTTAGGCTCTGAGCAAATAGCAGGTGATGAATAGAGTTCTTTGCTAGTCATTCTGATTAGCCATGAACTTGGAAACTAAGTTTATTAGAACTGAGGGCAGCCTAGTTGGCTCAGCGGTTTAGCTCCGCCTTCAGCCCAGGGCGGGATCCTGGAGACCGGGGATCAAGTCCCATGTCAGGCTCCCTGCATGGAGCCTGCTTCGTCCTCTGCCTGTGTTTCTGCCTCTCTCTCTCTCTCTCTCTCTCTCTGTCTCTCATGAATAAATGAATAAAATCTTAAAAAAAAAAAAAGAACTGAATGTGCAACTATAGGCTATGGTGAATAGCCTTTAGCCTACTTTAGTAGATGAATTCTGGTGCAAAGACCATGTAATCTCTTTGTGTCACTCCCAGCTGGAAACAGAACACCTGAAATATTAAGGGAAGATGGGGAACCTGATGAGCCCCTATGCAGCCTAATTACTGTCCCCATTCATAGAGATGCTCTTGTCATTGTTGCAACCTGTCCTCACATCCTTGGGGTGCCTATTTCAACTACTCACAGCTACTGGGTCTCACTGTAAAGCTAGATGGGCAAGGTATGTTAACAAGTGAAAGCTGTTCTTGCCCAGTGGGTGTGAACAGTAGTTTAATATTAAGTTTCTTGATATAAGCTAAACCTCTAATTTCTAAAAGCAACCTAATCATTAAAAAAAAATGGACTACAGTTACAGTAAAGCTTTACTCGAAGGCAAGGGCTGGAGTACTCACAAATGATGAATTACATCCATTTGGTATTTATTTTCACTTCTTGGAATGTGATTCCTGAGGCAAGACTCAAGCAAAGGTGGGAGGAAATTAGTATGTTTTAAAGGAAAGGAAGCACTTGGAAATACTTCTGGGGTAGGAGGTGGGCAGAGTTGGGGGCGTTTGTTTTGTGAAGGCAGAGGGAGGTAAGAGCTGAGATGGGATGAGAACGCAGCTTGGCTTTTCTCTCCTTTCCCTCTTTTTATTATCTTCCCCCATTTTCTCTTCCTCTGTCTCTTTAACTTTTCTGATGGCATAACTCCTTTTCTGGGGGCCAGGCATCTGCACATCTTAACCAGCCCTTCCCCTCTGCCATTCTTTTGTTCCTTTTGGGTGTTTATATTGGGAGGGCTTGTAGCAAGCTGGGTGTGAGTGAAGCGTGTGTGTGACCTCTTTGTGTATAAGCCCCTCCTTTCCTGAGTCCTGTTTCTGTCTAGTTAACATGGTTTGAGCTGAGCTGAGACTTGGAGACCAGGGCTTAGGAGCAGGGGGTTGTGGTGGAGAAGTGTCCTATTCTAGCTGGGAGTAGAGGAGAGGAGACTTACTTAAACCTAAGTAAACATAAACGCTGCTGAGACTCCTGTATCTTGTTAAGAAATACAGGATTATGGATAGGAGTAATGAAGCACCTTAGGAAGATATCTTGAGTTCACTACTGTAGTTCTTATTCAACCTCATTAGAGGTATAAACTCTTCTAAACCTACATTTTCATTTTGCCTGTTTCCCTAGCTCCTACTTGCACATGACAGACCCTTGGTTAATGCGTTGAAACTAGGTTGTCAGGTGAATTTTCTATTAAGTTTTTTTTTTTTTTTAAGATTTTATTTATTTATTCACAAGAGACACACAGAAAGAGGCAGAGGGAGAAGCAGGCACTCTGGGGAGAACCTGATGGCAGAACTCAATCTCAGGACCCCGGGACCACGCCCTGGGCTGAAGGCAGGAGTTTAGCCACTGAGCCACCCAGGAGCCCCTCCAGTGAGCTTTTTTATTGCCTTTCAACAAGAAAATTAGAAATATTAAAATCTGATGACAGGTATTTTGGCCGATAATACTTTTGGAGATAATGCCATTTTTAAAAACATTTTGAGATAATGCACTAAAAACAAACAAACAAACAAACAAAAAAACAAACGTGGATCCCTGATTAGCTCAGCAGTTTAGCGCCCTCCTTCTGACCGGGTCAGAGACAGAGGACTGTCTCTATAGCACAGCCAGCAGCATGAGTTGCATGTTTGTGTCACTGCCTCTTGCTCCACAGATCCCATGGGGGCCATGTGAAGTGGCTCAGAAGAATGCTGCCCATGCATGGGTTTCAGTCAGGCTGTAGAGCCCTGAGTTTAGGAAATCCCAATCTCAGTGCTGGCAGAGGACTCGAGACTCTTGGATCAAAGAGGACGGTAGTACAGCACAGCCAACAGCATGAGCATCATGTGTGTGTATTTCCTTTTGCCCTACGAGTCTGCAGCTGTACAACCCTGAGTGTAGGTAATCCTGATCTCTCATAAAGTGCTGCAAAGAAACCTGCCCAACCTCAGCCTGGAGGGAGACACTACCTTTATTATACTGGACAGTAAACAATCCTGCCTTTGCCTCTGGAGGGAGAGGATATCTCTGTGTTTCTAGCTTGTTTGCTAGACACACACCCTTGCAGAGATAGTTCAGAACTGAAGCAGCCAGTTCCTCATAAAAACTGCAGAAGTGGGAAAGATCTGTGGAGAATCACCTCCCAACACACAGTACGAGGATTAACATTCTCACTGATGATTGTGAATCAAGAAAAAGAGAACTTGTATTTGGTATACCTTGTTTGAGAAGGGAAGCGTGTGAACTATTCTTTCCAAAAAGGTAAGTGTCCAGGAGTCTCAGTTCCCTGGGAGTCTTACTTGCATTGGGCAGAGAACACAAATTGTGATTTTGTGTATTTGCCCCACCTTGAGGGTCACAAAGGCAAGTCTATGGAATTATAGGTGTTAGTTTTTCAGGGGGTCATAAACTCAGAGTGAACAGCTTTCAACAGTTTGTTGATTAGAATTGCTTATGACCCTTCTTCAGGAAAGGGCAGCTTTGATGGCATTATGCAATGAAGTACTTACAACACTGAAGCATTTTGGTAGCCATCAGATTTAGCTAATATTTATTTTGTATGCACTGTGTTATGTAAACACCTAAGGAGGAAGGCTGTTTTTCTTAACCTACCTAAAAAAAAGAAAAGGTTGAGGTTAAAGACTTTAAAAATCATTCATAAGTTAGGGGCATCTGAGTGGCTCAGTGGTTGAGCATCTGCCTTTGGCTTAGGGCATGATCCCGCATCAGAGCCTGCCTCTCCCTCTCCTTATGTCTCTACCTCTCTCTCTGTGTCTTTCATAAATAAATAAATAAAAATCTTAAAAAAAAAAGTAATAAAAATGTTTTTCACCCCTCCCCTGGTCTTAAACAATTTTTTTTTTTTTGGTGAAATGACCTATTGAAGATGATATTTAGCAATACATATGATTATTTACTCCACAAATAGTAAGGTGCAATTTTAGGATCATTTGTGTTCCAGTGATTGTCATCCTAACAGAATTCCTTCGTTATCCTGGTTTTGTACCTAATCATCTATGCCACTTAAGTTACCTCACATAAAAGAACAATAAGCTGTATTTCCTATCCTCTTTTTATTGATTTGTTTTAAAAGGAAGGCGAATAGACTTTTTGCCCTGTAGTATTAGTTCCTAACTCTAGGGGAAAACTAGGCATTTAGTGCAATATGCATATATATTTTTTGTATTTGGTTAGAACAGTACTTTTTTAAAAGTTGTGCCTTTTTCATGTGGGCAACACAAGCTTTTTTATTTTTATTATTTTTTAAAAATTTTACTTTTAAGTAACCTCTACACCCAACGTGGAGCTTTAACTTACAACCCTGAGGTCAAGAGTCACATGCTTATGGACTGAGCCAGCCAGGCCCCATGTGAATAAGACAAGCTTTAAAGCAAACTTGTTACATGAAAATTTTGGTTTTATAGTACTTTGATTTGGGAAGGAGATACAACTTTACAAAGATTTTTAGTTTTTCCTAAATGATTCACCATTGGAGTTCTGTTAAAATTCAAGTCCTATACACTACTTCTCAGAAACCTGCAGGTTGCAGAAGGGAAGGTCACCCGGTGCCCTCTTCTGTCTGGTGGTTATAGAATTTCCTCCATGTTAGCTGCTTGAATGTTGAGTGCTTTCATACTCTTAAAACTTCTAATACTTAACTCATTTTGGATTCCATTCTCTTATAAAAAGGTCAAGAATATGCGTCCTTCAAATGCTTTCAAAGGCTCATGTCCTTTTTTGGGGGGGAAATAAAGTCAGTTTTCATTATTTGCATATTCTTTGTGAATTTGCCTATTCGACCAAAATTTATTTATAACCCTGAAAGCAATACTCATAGTATGTTTTTGGTTGAAATAACATGTGTAGAACAGTGAAAAATTTAAGTTACTTATCAATGTTCCCAGCTGAGGTCAAACCAGGGGACCATTTTGTTTCAGCTTTCATGTTGTAAATAAGTGTCTGGTTTGTGTTCTATTTAGTGTGATGCTTTTCACATTTTTGTACTTTTTGTCAGTGACCCCGCTATTTAAAATGGCCCCCACCTGCAGTGCCCAGAAGGCAATGATGTCCCCGAAGGAGAAAAAAAAAAAGTGCATTAGGTAAACTTTTTTACACACTCGATTTATAATGCTGTTAGCTGTGAGTTAAATGTTAATAATGAATCAACAATATAAAATAAGGCATCTTTAAACATAAACACATGTAAAACAAAGTTATGTACTGATCGATTGATGAAAGTGTTGTTACCAGATGTACCAGAGACTTATGAGAACCCTAACCCTATTTCCCTAGGAGCAGTGTTTCAGTATTCACTAATTCAGTGTTCAAGACCATTTTATAGATCTTATCCACTGCGAATAACCAGAATTGGCTGTAGTTAGTTTTTCATTTATTTTATTTGAGCTGATGGAGGTCAGCCTAATGTCAACAACCGATTATTCTGTGGGTATGCATGTTTTGTAATGGTCACAATACTAGGCTCTGAGCTTTTATGTACTGTGCCTATTTTTTCACTTCAGGAGCCTATGCCAACCAGTTTACAGTCCTTTGGCTCAGAATTTTGCCATGAGGAGAGGAGCCAGCTTAGAATGAGAGTAGCTGGGCCTTTAGGGAGGCTGCCATGCTGTGTGGCTTGGCTTTCCCTGTCCATTCCATGCTGAATTTCCACCTTTGCTATTCATGATGCTGGAGCCTGGGCCATAAAAAAAAAAAAAAAAAACACAAAAAAACAAAACAGCTACAACCTGTCCTGTAAGGACCAGAGAGAATTAGTTCAGGAGAGGAGGCTGCTGGGCTGCATCCATCCTTGGCTCTGATGAGACACTGGATACCTGTCAGGGTCCTGGGAGCTCCCTGAGAGAGGGTTCCTAAGCAGATCTTGTGTTTGTTTTATTTATTTGTTAGTTTTGAAGAGTTTAGTTTACTTTGGATAGGGATGCTTCTTCTTCATTATCTCAAACCAGCTGGGTAAGTATCAGCCAGAACAGGTTTTTTATTTTCTTTTTTAAGGCAAGGAGGTTTAAAGACCTTCCTAAGCTCTAGGCACTGTCACTTTGTTCTTTCTCTCTCTCTCTCTCTTTTTTTTTATTTTACGTTCCTCACCCCTAGTACTGTTTCTTTTCAAATCTCCCCCCTAAATCATGTAAAATATATCCATATCCTATATTAAACCTAACATATAATTATGAATAAAGTTGAGTTGGCTGTTGAAATGTTATATGTTGTAGGTATTTAATTGTTAATTTTGGTTTTGAAAAGTTTTCATGATCTGAAGCAATATGTCTTTTTTTTTTTTTTTTTTTTTTTTTTTTAAGATCTCAAATATTTTCATGGACCGTGACAAAGCTCATAGACCTGAGGTACTACGACTACAGTGTAGGAAAGGGTTCAGACTTTCCTCAGCCCCTTGGCTGCACTCAGTTCTGCTGATGTTGTTGGAGGCTCTGATGTGCCTCAGGCCGCACATGCTGCTGGGTATCAAAAAGAAGCCAAATAGCATTCTTTCCCTCAAGGGGCTGATAGGCCAGACCCTTTCAATGCTGTCTTCATTGTGGCATGACCAGGTGCTGTGGGCAGCCAGAGGGGCTGATAGCAAGGGTGTTGTAGAGCAGATGGTCCCCACTGAGTTTTGAAGGATGCCTGCTTGGTGATGCAAAGAGGTGCAGGACAGAGGGAGTTTGGGGAAAGCTGGAGGCAGAAGGGTATGGCCGAGGCTTGGAAACAGAGTGGTATGTGTGGGAAACTATGGGCTGTCTTTGATGCTGGAGTGATATATGGAAGGTAGATTGTGGTTGTGACAGATAGCATCAAGAGGAGGGAGGGACTGGGTATGGAGGGCCTTTGTGCCCTCTTAGACAAGATTAGACTCATCCTGGGTGTGTGACCTACTTCTGGGACCTCTGCTGCATGCATTTGAGATTTATTGGTATCCCTCACTGCATGTCAGTTGCATAACTAAGTTTCTCGCTGTCTCTATCCTTGATAGTATTGAGAAATTCTGTGTTGTTTGCTTTTGTTCTGTTATCCCTTCTAAAAATGGCTTAATTTAAAAAAATAACTTTTTGTTGATGCATAACACACCAGAGAAGCACAATTGTAAGTATACAGGGAAACAGAGTAACCTAAAAATGCTTACTCATTATTAACACATCAACCAATACTAAAAATATAAAACAGACGAGTCTTTTCTATTTCTACCATTCAGAGATAGCCACTGTCAATATTTTGGTAAATGCCACTCTGGACCTCTCTGTGTGCTCATGGAGGTACTACATCTCTGGGGTTTTCTGTCTTGTGTTTTCATTCCCTAATGTGTCCTAGCCATCTTTCAAAGTAGTATCTATGGATCCGTATTGCCTTTTAATGGCTGCAGAGGATTTTATCTTATGGTGACCGTGTGACAGAGTTTACTTAACCATTTTTTCGTTGATGGGCATCTAGATGGATTCTAATTTTTGTTAACTATTAGAAACACTTCAGTGAAAACCAAGTTCCTTGAATGTACATGTTTGTGTGCTTTTCTTAAAATGTTTTTATTGTGAGAAATTTTAAACATATAAAAAATCGAATAGTATGATGAGGTTCCATATATGCCCAGCTTAAGGAGTTAATAATGTTATACCATTCTTTCTTTTAATCTGTGCTCTCATACTGTTCTTCCTCTGCTAGGGCATTTGAAAGCAAATAATTTATGCCATTTCACTTATATATACCTTACTCTTCTAAGATAAGAACTCAAAAACATAATAAAATTGAATAAAAAGAACTAATAGTTACTAATATCTAATATTATGCAAATCAGAATCCATCTAAAATGATGCTTTGGTTGATCTCTTTAAGTCTCTTTTAATTTATAATCTTCTTCCCCTTCTTTATTTCTTGTGTTATTTATTTATTGAAAAAACAAGTCATTTACTGAGCAGAATTTTCCAGTCTGAACTTGGCTACTGGCCTCTCTGGTGGCATTTGACATGTTCTTCCACACGTCATCATAGCCCATAAACTGGGCATTAGAACTGGAGACTTGTATCATTTCATAAGGTTGATGAGTAAGTTCATGGGCTATCAACCCCAGTGTATCTATTCTAACATTTCCTATCAGTCTTGTACCTAATGGTTTTGGCACCCCTTTACAATCTTTGCTTACATGTATGACTTCATTAGAATTTTCAAAATGATGATTTTTAGGAACTTTAAATTTTGAGATAATTGTAGATTCACATGCAGTTGCAAGAAATAGTGTAGAGGGCTCCTTTATGCCCTTCATCCAGTTTCCCCAAGTGGTAATCTCTTGCTTAAGTATAGTCCAGCATCACAACCAGGGAACTGACATTGATACAATCCACAGACAGTATACAGATTTTGCTAGTTCTATATGCACATGCAATTTTATCACCAGTATTGATAAATGTGGATTAATACTGCAGTCAAGAATCAGAGCATTTCTGAGGCACCTAGTTGGCTCAGGTGATTGTCTGACTCTTGATTTTGGTTCAGATCATGATTTTGTGATTGTGGGATTGAGCCCTGCATCAGGTTCTGTGCTCAGTGCAGAGTCTGCTTTAGATTCTCTCTTCCTCTCACTCCCTGTCTCTCAAATAAACAAAATCTTAGAAATGCTGTGATTCTTTTTCTTTTTTTTAAATCATAAGGCTCTCTCATGCTACCCTCTTAAAGGCATAGCCAATCCCTTCTCTCCCCTCCTAACCCTGGCAACACTAATCAGTTCTCCATTTCTATAATTTTGTCTTTCCAAGAATGACTTATAAATAGAATTATGCAGTATGATATTTCTTGTGGTTGGCTTTTTTCATTCAGCTTGATTTCTTTGAGATCCATCAAGATTGTTGCGTGTATTAATAGTTTATTCCTTTTTATTACTGAGTAATATTTCATGATATGGATATACTAGTTTATTTAACCATTTACAAGTTGAAGAATGTTTGGGTTGTTTCCACTTTTGGGGTATTACATATGAATATGTTATGAGCATTCATATTCAGGTTTCTGTGCAGGCATAAGTATTCATTTTTCTGGCATAAATGCCCAAGAGTGCAGTTGATGGGTTATATGCTTAATTTTGTAAGAAACTGCTATATTCTTTTCCAGAGTGGCTATACCATTTTACATTCCCACTAGCAACGAATAAGAAATCTAGTTTCTCTGCATCCTTACCAACTTTTGGTGTTATCACTACGTTTTATTTTAGCCATTCTGATAGGTATGTAAATCATGATTTTAAAATTCTTTCTGTGCTTTTTGGCTATAATTCTTCTAGAAAAAACAATAACTTTTCTTCATCGGCTGTTTGATAACCTTAAAATAGTCTGTATAAGAAGAGCATAAAATATTTTATTATTTTTCTCATTTGTATGTCCCACTCCACCTTGTTAAATCAGTTTTAAAAAAAATAATAAGTGCCCTGTTAGCTTCTTGAGTGACTAATTGGCCTTTTAAAAAGTATCATTATGAACTCTTGGATTTTTAAAATATTTGATGTGACTGTCTTCTCAGGGTAAGTTAATAGAAGAGAAACTGCCAAGTAAAAGGGTGTACAAACTAAAAATTTTGATTACCTCACTCCTCTCCAGAAAGGCCATACTCATTTTAGGTTCTTAGCAATAGCATATAAAAATATTTTTCCATGTTCTTGCTGACACTGGTTTGGCCACTTTTTAAGCTTTTAAACATTTTACCAATCTGATGGTAAAATTGGTATCTTACTATTTGCAGTTCTTCACTTAAGAGTAAAGTTGATCAACTTTGCACATTATTGACTTTTTTAAGATAGCCAATTACCTTTTTTAAAAAAGATTTTATTGATTATTTATACATAGAGAGGGCACAGACAGGGGGTAAGGCAGAGCGAGAGAGAGAGAGAGAGAGAGAGAGAGAGAGAGAGAGAGAGAAGCAGACTCCCTACTAAGCAGGGAGCCTTATGTGGGGCTTGATTCCAGGACCTGGAGATGATGACCTGAGCCAATGACAACACTTAAGCACCCAGGAACCCCTAAAGATAGCCAATTACCTTTAGCCATATTTCTACTAAGGTACTGATTGATCTTTTCTTACATATTTTTGTTTTACCTATCAGCACTTTTCTGGATGGTTGCTGATTTTTATTCACTTAGGAATAGGCCTTTCTTACCTTAAGATTATAGAAATATGTACCCATTTTTCTGATGCCTCTCTGTGATATTATAGTTAAATGTAAATATTTGTTCCACATATAATTTATTTTTGTATAAGGGATGCGGTAAAGATATTTCTCTGAATATATGACCAGTTTTCTCAATGCCATGTATTAAATATTAAATTATCTTTTCCCCACTTTTATACCAAATTCCCTAATCTTGAGTCTGAGTTTCTTGTTGTGTTCCACTGATTTGCTAGTTTTTCCTGCTTTGTTGTCACTGTTTGAATTACTACAGCTTAATTGTCCTTTAAAATTTTTATTGCTGACTTTAGTGAATGTATGAATCATACCAGCTTACTCATGTCTATTATATGTCTGGCTATTGCTTTATAATGTGTTTTAATAATTGGTGCTGCCTCGTTTTTTATGATTTTGCTGACTAAGCTCACAAATTTAATCTTCCAGATAGATTTTAGAAATATTTGTGACAGGTCCTCCAACGCACACTTTTACATTTTGATCAAGATTTTATTCAGTTTATAGATTAATTTAGAGGAGAATTGATTTCTTTACAACTTTGAGCCTCCATAGTTAACAACATGGTCATGGTCATTTATTCAAGTCTTTTGTCCATCCTTCAATATTTTTTATTAATTTCTTCCAAAGTTTTTATTGGTTTTGGCTTCTCTGTTGCTTCAGTAGGACGCCTTTTAAATTTGGCCAGATCCTTTTTTTTTTTTTTTCAGTAGGTTGAACTGCTGGGAAAATGTCACGTTTTATAATCTGTAATATTAGCTTTTTAAACTACCTCTTCAGTATGTCCACCTCCCTAAACTAACAAGCTGCAATTCCTTTTTCTAAAAGAAAAAGATTTTATTTATTTGAGAGAGAGAGAGAATACAAGAGAGTGAGCACTAGTGGGGGGGGGTTCAGTGGGGGGTTGGATGGGAGGCAGAGGGTGAAGCTGATGCATGGAGCCTGATGTGACTGGGGGCTTGACCCCAGGACCCTGAGATCAAGATCTGAGCTGAAGGCAGACCCTTAACAGACTGAGCCATCCAGGTGCCCGTACAAGCTGTAATTCCTGCAGTCCTTAAGACAGATCAAAAAATGGTTGCCTTCTGACAGTAGCTATAATTCTTTAGGGACTAAGTATGAATTATAACAAATTTCTGATGAAGATGACAATGCATTGCTGACCAAAATTAGATATTAAAGCAAATTCAAACTTTCAACTATTTATGACATTTGGGCAGCTTTTCATTAAGTGAAAGGAACAAACCTCTCATTAAAAGAGTTTCATAAGGCAGGCATGTGCCAGTCTGCCCGGCCTCCTTAGACCATTTTTATGACTTATTTATTGCACCTGAGAATCTAGTATCTTCTCCTGCCTACATGAGCTGTTCCCAAGTTGACTGTTGCTAAAAGCGGCTACTATTAATTGAGATTCTATATGAAATCCAAATATGTGTTGCAGCACACACGTGGAGTTGATTTTGAGGTAGATCTGTTCATGTCTAAACTCTTTGGGGACTTGGACTACACTATAGGCTTCCTGGCATGTGTGGTTGGATGTGTGTGCCTATGTTTTGGAGGGCTTCTTTGTTATGGGAGCTCGATGACAGGAGGAAGAAGTGGTCATGATTTCAGTTAACACTGCTTCTAAAATCTTTTACACTATGCCTTTTTCAAGAACTATATTCAGTACTTCAATATATTTTATATCATAATTTTGTAGATGTCTGCTGAACTGCTTTTTAGTAGATTCTAGGATCAGAATTTTTTTAGAGATTTTATTTATTTATTCAGGAGAGATGCAGAAGGAGAGGCAGAGACATAGGCAGAAGGAGAAGCAAGCTCCCCAAGGGGAGTCCGATGTGGGACTTGATCCTGGAAATCTGGGATCATGACCTGAGCCAAAGGCAGAAGCTCAACCACTGAGCCCTCCAGGTGTCCCTAGGATCAGAATTTTGGGGGAGCATCATAATCCAGATTTAGGAAGAAGTAGTGTCATAGCTAATACTGGAATTATCTATTCCAATTGTTAATTTGAGGTCATTAAGCACTAAGCGTGATTATAAGGTAAACCCTTACCTAATATTTTAGAGGGAGAAAATAATTTTCAGTTTATTAAGAACCATTCATTTAAATACAATATAAATAATTTTAATACAGTATAAATTATATTTATAAATTTATGCATTTAGACAGCTTGAACCTTTGCTTTTCACACATAATGTGCTATATATTCTTTGAAATATTATATAACATTATAGCATTATATAAGCATTGTATGATACAGAGAGACTTTCTAGGCCAAATTAGTGTGGCTTTTTTGTGTATATTATGAAATAGTTCAGACACACTTAAAAGCCACAAAGAATAATACACTATCCATATACTTAACGTCCTGCTCAAGATATGAAATCCTACCAATGTAATTGGCCCTTGTATTTCTCTCTAATTGCATAATCCTTCCTTCACCTCAGAAATAATAATTGTCTCCTTTTATACATAATAAAAGCTATGTTTTTGAACTTTTTTTTTGTTTTGTTGTTTTTGAACTTTGTATAAGTGGTGAGATCTCTGACTCTTCTGCCACTTTTTTTTTTTCATTTGCCATATTTCTGAGATTCATTTTAGTTGATTATAGGTCCATTCATTTCTACTGCTTGTGTTCTTTCACTGTATGCCATAAGTTCCTTATCTCTTTTGTTGACAGAGATGTTGTTTTCAGAGGGTTTTTTTTTTTTTTTTTTTTTTTTTGCAATTAAGTGCTTTTCTTGTACACGTATTTCAGAGTTTCCCTAGGGTACCTTTGAATGAAACTCCTGGATCAAAAGGTATCTGTTGAGGATGCCTACATTCCCTGATTAAATTCTCATGGTTCTACACCCTTCTTTGCCAAGACTAGGTACTATCAGATTTTTTTTTTTTTAGTTTGTTACTTCAGTGAGTGTTATGTCTCATAATTTTGAATTTCTCTGATTACTAGGGAGGTTGGATGTCCTTTCTTATGTGTAGCATTAGAGGTGCTTTTTCCCTAGTATAGTTGTATATTATGGCAGAAAATTATATGTAAAGTTGAAGGTAGCATGAAGTACTTCTACTAGATAGGAATGTACCATAATTGTATCCTTAGAACATTGGCAACTTTGTAGATTTTTTGAGAGGAAATAATATGGCATGATTTTCCAATAGTACATTAGAGCATGGACTTGGGAATCAAACTGATGCTTGAAACCTGGTTGCATCGTCTTTTTTTTTTTCCTGATTTTGTTTTGTTTTGTTTTTAGAGGGGATGGGAGGGGCAGACAAAGAAGGAGGGAGAGAATCTTAAGCAGGCTCTCCGCCCATAAAACTCTGACATCATGACCAAAGCCAAAATCGAGAGTTAGGATGCTTAATGGACTGAGCCACCCAGGCGCCCTAGGCTCCATTGTTCATCCACGTTATGACCTTAGACGATTTGTACAATCTCTCTGAGTCTGTTTCCTCACCTTTTTTTTTTTTTAAAGATTTTATTAAGTAATCTCTACACCTGACATGGGGCTTGAACTTAAAACTCCAAGATCAAGAGTTGCATGCTCTACTGACTGATCCAACCAAGGCACACCTGTTTCTTCATCCGTAAAGTGAGTATAATACCTCGTGGTTTGGTGATAGAATGAAGGAAGATAACATAAACAGTGGGCACATAGCACTAGCATATGGTTTTAGGATGAAATAAATGTGCTTCTACAGTAGTGTGGAAGATGGATAATACCGTGGCAGAAAATGAAGTCGACACTGAAATCTGGCACTATTTGTGAGTACAAAATGTGATCTGTTGATAATCTGTTGTTAGTTTACTCTAAGACAAATGTACTCCAAATCAGGAACAAGCAAGAAGACACCTGGCATGGCAAATCCAGATGAGTCATCTCTATGCCATGTATCTGTGTTTGACAATCCCACATCTCCCCACACACAAACAAACACCCACCCACATCACTTGTGTTCATCTTCTGGGCCCTGTCAGTTTCTTTTTCTTTTCTTTTCTTTTCTTTTCTTTTCTTTTCTTTTCTTTTCTTTTCTTTTGTTTTCTTTTCTTTCTTTTCTTTTCTTTTCTTTCTTTTCTTTTCTTTTCTTTTCTTTTCTTTTCTTTTCTTTTCTTTCTTTTCCTTTCCTTTCCTTTCCTTTCCTTTCCTTTCCTTTCCTTTCCTTTCCTTTCCTTTCCTTTTTTCTTTCTTTTATTTTCCTCTTTCTTTCTTTCTTTCTTTCTTTCTTTCTTTCTTTCTTTCTTTCTTTCTTTCTTTCTTTCTTTCAAGATTTTATTTGTTTATTCATGAGAGACACAGAGAGAGAGGCAGAGACACAGGCAGAGGGAGAAGCAGGCTCCCTGCAGGGAGCTTGATTCAGGACTTGATCCCAGGACCCTGGGATCACCCCAGGATCACTCCCCAAAGAGGAACACTCAACCACTGAGACACCTAGGCATCCCTGCCTTGTCAGTTTCATGCCAGTCAGGACATCAGTGACTATGACAAGGCTGTCCAGGGTCACAGTGGATAGGTAGGAGTAACCTTGGGATCCTTATGGGTGGAAATGTAGGCTTTTAGATAATTGTGAATTGATGTTATTTAGACTCTTCTCATGTCCCTTGCCACAGGAATTTCTCCACATGGCTTCCAAAGAAGTGACCATTACAGTTCGCCTCATTCGTTCATTTGAGCATCGCAATTTCAAGCCTATAGTATATCATGGAGTTAATTTGGACCAAACTACAAAGGAATTTATAGTCTTTCTAAAGCAAGGTATGAGATGTCTTAGTCGTTTTGCTTTATTAGTATTTTGAAAAATGTAGATGACTATTACATTGATGGTAATCATTTATTTTTTAGAATTTATTTATTTGAGAGAGACAGAGATAGTGACAGAGCACAAGCCAGGAGGAGAGGGAAAAGCGGGCTCCCCACTGAGCAGAGCACCTGCCTAGGGACTCAATACCAGAACCTTGGGATTATGACCTGAGCCAAAGGCTGATGCCGATGGTAATCTTTTAAAAATACTCTGAAAGATACTAATCTAGGTTCTCAGCCAGGTGCTATGTCAGCTCTTGTTCTGGGCCTCGTTATCAATTGGAAGTATCTTTCTGAGGCTCATTTAGCTTTGTGTGCGCCTTCCTCAGGAATTATTACCATCGTGTTTGGCTTCTCCCTTTTTTCCCCTGCTTTTTTTTTTTTTTTATTAAAGAAATATTTAGATTTGCTTGTGAGGTTGATTAACAAGGGAATGCAATGTAGCTAACTGTATTACCTGGCTGAGTATACAGAGGACCTCACAAGAAGTACAGTAGGAAAGTAGCAGGTCTCTGTCTGTACAGCCAGAAAATCATGAGAGCTATTGGTCATTGTGATTACAGAAATGACAACCAGACCAACTGGTGGTAGTTTATCATTTTTAGCTTAAAATTCAATAGGCATGTAGTCAGCAAAGGCTTTTGATAAGACCTTGATGGGTTTCTAACCTCCATTTTTAATTATTGAAATGTTCTAATCACCAGCATTTGATAAAACATCTAGAATGAGCTTTTATTATTTTAATTGAAATTAATTTACATATGGTGTAATGTACAGATCATAGTTTTGACAAATATATCACTTTATTTTTTTTTAAAGATTTATTTATGGGGATCCCTGGGTGGCGCAGCGGTTTAGCGCCTGCCTTTAGCCCAGGGCGCGATCCTGGAGACCCGAGATCGAATCCCATGTGGGGCTCCCGGTGCATGGAGCCTGCTTCTCCCTCTGCCTGTGTCTCTGCCTCTCTCTCTCTCTCTCTATGTGTGACTATCATAAAAATTAAAAAAAAAATTAAAAAAATTTTAAAAAAAGATTTATTTATTTATTTATTCATGATAGACAGAGAGAGAGAAGCAGAGACACAGGCAGAGGGAGAAGCAGGCTCCATGCCGGGAGCCTGATGTGGGACTTGATCCCGGGACCCCAGGATTGCACCCTGGGGCCAAAGGCAGGCACTAAACTGCTGAGCCACCCAGGGATCCCCATTTTTTAAAAAAGATTTTATTTATTTGAGAGAGAGCGAGAGAGCATGAATAGGGGGAGGGACAGAAGAAGAAGGAGAAGCAGACTCCCTGATGAGCCTGATTTGGGGCTCCATCCCAGGACCCTGGTATCACAACCGAAGCTGAAGGCAGATGCTCCACCAGCTGAGCCACCCAGTCACACTACATGTATCACTTGATATGTCTTAATCTTTTTTTTTTTTTTTACTTTGACAAAGTTTCAGACACAGAAAAGTTGCAAAAATAGGACAGAATTCCTGGATGCTCTTACACAGGTTCCTGAACTGTCAGTATTTTGTTACATTTATTTTAACCTGCCCCCCACCTCTTTTTTCCCTTTTTCTCTCTTATTCTCTTTACCCCCTCATTTTTTTCTTTCTGAATTTAGAAGTACATTGCTGCCATGATTCTCCTTCCTTTCTAAATATTTAAGTGTTTATTTCCTAAAAGCAAGGAATTATCTTACCTAATTACAGTACAGTGATTAAAATCAGGAATTTAACATTGAAACAATATTACTACCTATTCTGTAGACCTTTTTAAGATTATCATTATTCCAATAAGGCCTTTTGTAACCCCCCCCCAAAAAAAAATTCCAAGGTCGCATGTTACATTCAGTTCCTTTAATCTGAAATGAATTTCTTTAATCTGGAGTCTTTATTTCGTGTTGGCAGTTTTGAACAGCACAGGCCAGACGTTTTGTAGAATGCAACTCAGGTAGATTTTTCTGTTTTCTCACAGTTAGATTTAGGTTAAATGTTTTGGCAGAGAAATCCTAGCAGTGATGCTAACTTCTCTGTGCATCACCCCAGGAGGATCTACCACTTGCCAACTCTGTTACTGGCAAATGGTAACTTTCATCAGTTGGTGAAAGTGAGGTCTGTCAAGTTTCTCCACTGTAAATATTAATTGTAATGGACAAGTGATTTGTAGGAACATATCCTGAGACCATGTGATGATCCTGTTACTATCCAACTTACACCACCAGTTTAGCATTCTTTTATGATTCTTGCCTGGATACAATGATAATGATGATAATGGGAAAAATGGTAATTTTTCTTAATCTGTCATTGCTTCTGCATATGATAGCTGTTTTCCTACACTAAGGAAGAGGTTTCACACCCCTATTCCCACCATCCCATGTATTTAATCATTTGTTCATAGCATTGTGGACTCATGGATTCTTACTTTATTCAAAGGATTATAATTCTTACTATCAAGATTATTTTGATGCTCCAGTTATCCCTATTTTAGCCAGTGGTAGCCACTTTAATCTTTCCCCACGTCCTTCTATAACATGCCCCCATCATTCTTTGAGTGCTTCTTTATTTTTGGTATAAGATGTTCCAGACTTATTCTATTTGTTCCCTCCGTCAGCCCTGGGATCAGCTGTTTCTCTGAGGAACTCTGATTCCATTCCTGGAGAATGATCTTGGAAAACCAGTATCCTGATCTATATACAAGCAATACAAATGTATATAGCTCAATTTTTAAAATGTGGTGAATTCTTGATATTTTACTTTTTGATTGACTTTGTAAATTTCTAAACTCTTCTCTTTTATCTTCCCACCTACTCACCAACTTTGGGTGGTTTTACTTTACTCAGTATTACCTAAGTAAGGAGTAGGCAAGGTAGGAAACCTACACAGAAGATAGATCAGGCTTTACTTTGTAGTGACTGTAAAATATTTCATAAGAACAACATAATTACTCCTTAAAGTAACTATAAGCTGACATATGGAGCATATGTTGTTATTGCTATGTTCTTAATTATTAGGGGGAAATTGAGAGTTGGTACTAAGATATTGCCAATTACAGAGTGTCTTGCTTTTGAAAAGATAACACCAGAAGCATATTTGGATTTTGAAATAAAAACAAATCCCCATGTTTCTTATTTTGAAATCTTTATGCATATTATGGATTATAGTGCTCTTAGTGTTGTGGTAGTAAGTGCCATGATGTCCTTGGTACAGTACAGGATAGGTTCTTCTCATAGTCCTTCAGAATGAAGTAGAATCTTCAGGCTGCTGCAGTGGCAGGGGAAGATGTTACCTCCCCACACCACCACCACCACCTGGGTTACTGTGTTCTTCCCTTCCCAGGTACCATAGATGCCTTCTCCATTAGAGTAGTTGTACGGATCACAGTTAGATGCTCAGCCCTGCCTGCCCACATCTTTCACCTGTGTTAGTAATAACATAACTCCTTGTTTCAATTGTGCATGTGGGAGATGTGTCCCACTGACTAAAAGGTGAACTTTTGGGGTGCAGACTCTTTTCATTGGTGGGCTCTATGCCCAAGCCTATCTGATTAGAGGCACTGTGGAGCTTCTCTGAAAGGTTAGGGAGCCATATATCTACCTTTTATAATTTTGTACATAACAAAGACCAAAGAGTTTATTTCTGGCATTTTTTCAAGTAATAATAACAGCAAACATTACTGTATGTCTGGTACTTTACTGAAAACTTAAACTAGATGATCTCATTTCATCCTCACAGAATCCTTCTAAAGTAGGAACTGTTGTATCCCCATTTGACAGGTGAAGAAACTAAGGAACAGAGAGGTTAAGAAACTTGCCTGAAGTTACATGGCTAATAAAAGGCAAAGCTGCAATTCAACCCTGGCAGTTTAACTGTAACATGTACTCTTTTAAAAAAAAAAATTAAATTCAGTTATCATATGGTATATTATTTCAGGGGTAGAATTTAGTGATTCATCAGTTGCACACAATACCCAGTGCTCATTCCATCATCTGCCCTCCTAAATGCCCATCATCCAGTTACCCCACCCCCCACCTTCCTCCTCTCCAGCAACCCTCAGTTTGTTTCCTGGAGTTCAGAGTCTCTTATGGTTTGTCTCCGTCTGTTTTTATGTTATTTTATTTTTTCTTCCCTTCCCTTATGTTCATTTGTTTTGTTTCTTAAATTCCACATATGTGTGAACTTGTATGGTATTTGTCTTTCTCTGACTGACTTCGCTTAGCATATGTACTGTTAAACACCACACTAAGTTGTCTCTCTTCTGTTCTGCCTCACTTACTGAAGTGGGATCTCCAAAGTAAATGGATTCATTCAGTGTCAGAAGAGTCATTGCATTAAGTTCCCTTTGCTCTAGTGTTTTGAACACTGAAAGCTGAAAGCTGGAAGAGTGATTTGACACTGTGGCATAGTGAATTTTGCATACAGCCAGAAATGGTTATTGTGATTAGATCTTTTGGGGTTATTTTATTCTTTGAAGAGAGGGGTTATTTTAGATTCCTTCTTGCTTTTCTAACTGTTCTTCACCTTTTGCCATCCTTACTCTGGTCTCCTGTCATAACCGTCTGTTTCTCCCTTAGCAAAAAAAACTTTGGTTAAATTGGATTCATTCTCTATTGAGAATCACTGTTCTTCAACATCATGCTATTAAAACCTAAAGTTTTGTAATAAATATAAACACATATATTTATAAAAAGTATAAATATAAACATATAGGATTATTTATATGTAGGTTTATAAATATAATAAACCTGTTATTAACATATGGGGAATGGATGTTAATCAGATATTCTGATCACAGACGTACTGTATTACTACTACCTTACATAGATGGCTCATTTTCTAGATTCAGAAACCAATTATCTGGATAATATAAGACCTTTCACTTATTCTTTGATTTGGAAACATTTAAATATTTTGTAATCTTTCAGGTCTTGCTTCTGAACATAAAATCACTCCACTGGTGAAACAGAAA